GGCCGGGGCGCTTCTCGCGGGAGGCCGGGTGCGGGGCGCGCGCGGCCCCTCGCGAGGTCGTCTTCGCCGGGGCGCTTGCCGTCCTCCGAGGAGAGGGGCGAAGCCGGCCGGAGCGCGAGACCGCAGGGCTGGCGGCCGCCTCCCGGGCTTCTCGGCGGGTCCTGACGCGGGGACCCTCCGGATGGAGCAGGAGCAGTCTCCAGGGGGTGGCGCGGGTGGCGGGGTCCTGGAGCCGCGCCCGGCTGCGGGCCCGGGAGGGAGCCGCGAGTTCGGGTGCACTCCGTGAGAGGCAGCCCAGAAATGCATGGAGTGTACTTAAAAGACACATTATTTTCTTCGTGCTTTATTACGTATTCCATAACTGATTACCGTTTTGTTATAGTTATTTCGTATTAGTCTTTATTATTTCAACAAGTTGTTGAATACCAGCTTGATGCCAGACGTTCTGCTAGACGCAGGGCGTGCATTATCGAAGACAAACCTGTGATGAATGTTTTTCTAACATCAGGGTCGGGCTGGGGAGATAGCTCAGCAGTCTAAGACTCTGCCTGGCAAGCGGAAGGCCTCGGGTTCAGTCCCCGTTACCGGGTGCTGTGCGGGCCCCTGCCGCGCCGGCCGAGGAAGCCCGCTGTGGTAGCCCCCTCCTGTCATCCCAATGCTGGGGAGGCTGAGACAGGATGCTGGAGCTACCTAGCGAGACCCTGTACCAAGTGAATAAATAAATGGCAGGGTCGGGAGTGTTTATCTTGCAAATGGTGTAAGCAGAGACATAAAGGGTAGGGATGAGTCGGGTGGGAGGACAAGCTTGTACTGGAGGAAAGAATACTTGTACACTGTAGAATTGAAGCACCAGTACATCTGGTGTGCAAGGTTTCAGAAAGCGATCCATAACTGCGCATCAGAGTTACTCATGTCCACTGGAGAGACCATGCTGTGTAGAGCATTACAGGGGTTTAGACTTTTTTGCTAAGGAGGATGGGAAATCATTGGAGAGTTTGGTATGGCCAAGTGATTGGATTCATTTTAGTTTTAGAATGAACACTTTTGTAGTGGACCAAAAAGGGAATTCAATCTTGAGGTGATGGTGGGCACGTTGGAATGGTGACTTTAGGAAGGTAACGGTGAGGAAATATCTAAGATGTTTAGGAAGAATAGAAAGGACCTGCTTAATATTAAATGGCGGGTAGTGAGGCAGAAAAGAATAGTTACATGGGTTTCTTTATATGTAAGGAATCAAGCCCGGAGCTACCACAGAGTTATTGTACCAGCCCAGGAAGTTTTATAAAATAATTACAATCTAGTAGTGATTAGTTAACTTTTCCATGTACTGATTGGCTTTCTGTGCTTTGTTTTTATCTGCCTAGGTGATTTTCTTTTGAGTCACTAATGCTGAGAGATCAAGAGAGAAATATGGCAAGGCTTTTTTTCATTCCAAAAATTTATATATTTTTAAATTTTTTGTTCATTTTAATGAGAGGCAAGGTTTTTGTTGTTTTACTGTAATACAGGCTTTTAAAGAAGAATGGGGAGCTGGGGAGATGGCTTAGTGGAATAAGCGCTTTCCTGGCAAGTGCAAGGGTCTGAGTTCAATCTCTGGTTCCACCAAAAAAAA